TGGCACTGTGGCTCAAGAGTGCTAGCTAGCCTTGAGCAAAAGAAGCTCAGAGAAGCTGGGCCCTGGTGGCTCACACCTGAGGCTGAGATTTGAGGATCATGGTTCAAAGCCAGCCCAAGCAGGAAAGTCCCTGAGACTCTTGTCTCCAATTAACACCAGACAACTGGAAGTGTTGCTCTGGCTCAAGTGGAAGAGCACTAGCCTTGAGCTGAAGAGCTGAGGGACAGGGCCCAGGCCCAGAGTTCAAGCCCTAGCACTGGCAAAAAAAAAAAAAAAAAAAGAAAAAGAAAGGAGCCTCACTCTGGAGTTTGAGAAGGTCCAGATTAAGTTTTAAGGAACAGAAGTAGCTGGGGCTTCCTTTGCTCAGATCACAGAGATTACAAGCCTCCTTTTGGGAAACTGAGAGCAGAAGGACCAGGCCAGTCCAGGTAGAAAAATGTTCTCAAGACCCTATCTCAAAAATAATCAGCAATATGCCAGGCAATGGTGGCTCAGGCCTGTAATCCTGGCTGCTAAAGAAGCTGAGATTTGAGGATCATGGTTGAAAGCCAGCCCAGGCAGGAAAGGCTGTGGGACTCTTACCTCCAGTTAACTATTAGAAAACCAGAAGTGGTGCTATATCTCAAAGTGGTAGAGCACTAGCCTTGAGCAGAAGAGCTCAAGGACAGTGCCTAGGCCCCAAGTTGAAGCCCCATACTTGACAAGATAAAACAAAACAAAATCCAGACACCAGTGGCTCACACCTGTAATCCTAGCTGCTCAGGAGGCTGAGATCTAAGGATCCTGGTTCAAAGCCAGCCTAGGGCAGGGAAGTCTGTGTCACGATTAATTGGAGATAAGAGTGACACAGACTTCCCTCTTATCTCCAATTAATCACCAAAAAGCTCAAAGTAGAGCAAGTGGCAGAATGCTAGCCTGGAGCAAAAAAGCTGTAGAACAGCACCTACACCCTGAATTCAAGCCCCAGGAGCTGCAAAAACAAAACAAAACAAAACAAAAAACAGCAAAAAACAGGGATGTATGGCTCAAGAGGTAAGAGTACCAGCCCTTAGTTCAAACCCCAGTAGTAACAAAAGCAAACAACAAAACAAATAGCCAGAGGTTGGAGGTGTTACTCAGTTGTTAACACACTAGCTAATGAGGGAAAGTGTCAAGTACCAACTTCCAGTCCTGGTCTCAGACCTACAGAAACCTCAAAAACAACAACAAAAACAAGTAGCTTTACAGACATAACCTGTTAAGGTCACCTGATTTTTTTTTGGGGGGGTCCGGTCCTGGGGCCTGAACTCTGGGCTTGAGCACTGTCCCTAAGCTCTTCAGCTCAAGGCTAGTGCTCTACCACTTGAGCCACAGCGCCACTTCCGGCTTTTCTTTTTGCTTATGTGGTGCTGAGGAATCGAACCCAGGGCCTCGAGCATGCAAGGCAAGCGCTCTACCACGGAGCCACCTTCCCAGCCCAAGGTCACCTGATTTGATATCAGGCAGCTAGTGACTTTTGGGAGCTATGCATTTGAGCCACATGAGTCTGCTATCCTATGCTACCTCTTTGAGGACACTCAAAATAAACAAAAAGCAACTTTTAGAATCCTTAATGCTTCTTTGATGGTATCTATTCTTGAGGGGCTGAGATAGATTTGTGTTGCTTTTGGCTATAACACATTTGTTTTTGTTTTGTAAGGCTGGGGATCAAACCCAGGCCCTTGCATAAATAAGGCAAGTACTCTACCATGAACTACACTCCGCACACCACATGTTCTGATAATTAAAATGTGTTTTACTCTACGAATCATTGAGAGCATACATAATTCTTATCCTAGTTCTAGCTTAGAGGGAGGCCTGGAAAGAGGGTTGCAGATTAAGAAACTTCCAGCAAGGCTCTTTTATCCCCCCATTCTTGGTACTGCTTGCTTGCTTCCATGTGCCGTTCTCCCTTCACTTCTGTTCCAT